TCAAGTATATAATACACAAACTATAAAAATGAGTAGTACAATATGTTAAAGGAAAAGAGTAATTATTCACTTTTTATATTACTATTTATTAAAAATTCAATAAGAAGCAAATTACAGGAAAAGTATATTTTGATACAAGAAAATATTATTTTAATGTGAAAACTGACTTTGCACGTTTTTTGCGAGCTTATTTTACTCTACTACAATACAATGTTATGACTAAATTCATGCAGTCATTCGAAAGTTTGTAATCCTAAATCTAATCTTTGACTTTAACTTGTTAATTACTGAAAAAACACTTTCGCAATGGTAAACCTTTAAAATATTTCTTTTAAAAGTGAATATTTTTCTCATCTACGATTATCCAAAAGTCTTGTGATATTCTTGTTCTTAATTGTAGGTAACACTGAAAATCAGTTATTTCTATTTCTAGATCAATAGAGTTTTTACTTAACATACCGTATATTCGGCGTATAACGTGTGTTACGTATTTCCCGCGCCATTCGGCTAGAGACTTAATTTTTAGGTATATTCGCTGTATAACGTACATCCTTTTCTTTACCAGGAAACTTGAAAAGTACATGCGCGATGCTGTTATCTTCTGAAGTCACTCATTCGAATATTTTCCTCAGGCTTTCGAAAAAAATGTTCCAAACGATTTCCTGCCGCTCACCGGCATTCGAGCGGTAAAGTTCATGAACACTGGTTGTTCGGTCCAAGGTTTGGATTCCACGAACGGGCTGTCTGCAGGTATGTTTTCCTGGTTTTTCCCACGTGTAACACGTTAATATGAGCCAGTTTCCCTTCGAAAGTCCAACATAAAGGCATCCCTTCCTTCCGTGTAGTGTCTTAGGACGAAACACGTAAATAATAATAATAAACGGTCTCCTGCGAAATGCAAAATCATTCAGTTTGCAAAAGTAAATGGAAATCGTGCTGCAAAGCTCCATATGTGACGAAATAAAAACGAAATCGCGATAATTAATATGCCAAAGAATAAATGTGCTTTGCATAAAGGAGTAACGAAATGGCCTATCCTAGAAGAAAGTGTTAGGAACTAAGTCCTAGAAAAATCCCCGGAATGGATTAATTTTTAAAAGAATCAGCGTATGTTTATTTGCCTTTAAGTGAGCAAAAAAGATTGCAAACGAAAACTTTTAAGCAAGACTTGGTGTAATCGATTAATGGCACGGAATAATTTACTTCTACAAGTAAAAAACAAAAGTTTCCGAAAGATTTGGGCAACAAGTTGATAAGTTTTCAGACGTATGTTATTAACCTGTTTACTGTCACATATTGGAAATATAGATGAAACTCCAGTAATGTGCGATACAATAGAAAATTTTAAAGAAATGATATGAAAGGAAAAAAAAAGAAAAAAAACGGTTCGTTCACATAAATAACAGGTCACGAAAAATCTTACCTCACAGTAGTACTTTGCTGCTTGGTGAACGGTATAAAATTAAAACCCACGGTTATTTTTAAAAGAAAGACGATGCCGAAATGTAATTTCTCAAATGGTGTTTTTATTCCTGTTCAATAGAAAGGATGGATGGACGAAAACGGTATGAAATTGTGGGTAAGAAATGTTTGGCAAGCCTTAAAGAATCCAGAAAGCCTTTTAGTTGCGGCATTGTTCAGATCCCGCCTAACTTTAGTACTAAGAAACTGTTGAAAGAGTGTAATACAGACATAGCAGTTATTCCAAACGGAATAACGTTTGTATCAATAAACCATTCAAAGAAAATTTAAAACGATATTGGAATACGTGTATGCTAGAAGGTGAAAAAACATTTACAGAAGACGCCAATTGCATCTAAAAGTCTAGAAATAGTATGTGAGCGTATAATAAAAGCATGCAATAAAGTTAAATCCAAAGTAATTCAAAAGTCATTAAAAGTGAAGTATATCTAACAACCTAGATGGAAAAGATGTTTATTATTTATGAATCACAATAGTGATGGTGAGAATGAAAAAGAAATTCGATGAAGCACCTGAATACACAACGGAAGATAAATATGACGAACTTTTCACGTTATCTGACAATGAAAAATTTTTAAGTTCGTAAGGTATGTTCTATTAAATAAACAAGATTTAGATACATGTAGAAATCTAATTTTTGTGTGCTCATTTTTTTCTTATTTTTAAATGTATCATTTCTATATCCGGCGTATAACGTAAACGTAACCCGTAAACGTCGATCTTATTTTTATGTATTTATTTATTTATTTATTTACTTTGCATTAAAAGTGCGTTATAACGCCGGACTGTACAGTATTTGCAATCTGTTGCTATATAGTACGGAAATGTTAGTATTAGCAATTAGATTTAAAATGATCGAAGAAATGGAATGAATTTTACGAAAATCGGAAAATCTAATTTCGAAATAATTTTTCAGATGAACGAGAGTTTCAGAATATTTAATTCTTTCAATTTTCTTATATTTCTTGATGTAATTCTTCATATCTGTAAAGTGGTAAAGTCACATACCTTTATAGCTAAGAATTACATGCAAAAGTTAACAAAGCTTACAAAAATTATTCGTTATAATTTTAAAAAATATATTCCTTTCATTTGTGAAAAACATTGCGTTGTTTTCCAAGAATATAATTTTGATTTAAATGCGTTTGTACGTCCTGTTAACTAAACAACAAACTTTTCTTTGCCCTGGAGTTGGAGTTTTAGTTTATTGTTTTTGGCTTTTATATTCGTAAGAAGGCTAAATCAGATCACTAGCTATGACCAGTAAGTTCTTCACGAGTTTCGCTCCTGGATTCTAAAGACTGTTTTATCTTTAGTAAGGAGCTCTAAAAATCGTTATAGGATTTTACCCTCACTCAGCCATCTAATTTCAGAATGTAGCATTGAAGTTCTATAGTCAGCATCAAGTTCATCAGTCGGTACTTTGAACAATTATATTCTGTAGTGGTTCTGGCAAAAATTGAATTTACAGTTTTTCAAACAACTTTCGTCAATAATGTAAAACTTTTGCTTCTAATATCAGCTGATGATGATGATGCAGCTTCAATTAAAAAGTTTGAAAAAGTCAGCATCATTTTTACATAACGCGATGATACTAACAGCAGAGCCAATCATGGAAGGTGCGCCGCTTTTTGTTATGAACCTAAGTTTTTGAAACGGAAGATTAATTTTGGTTCTATGGTTTTTAATAGCTTGCTATTTGCCTTTTAATGGCAAAACTGATAGTATATCTTCCTTTACTGAGCAATTGTTAAAACCCATCTTTATAAAAATATTTACTTGAACTACATTGCAGATATCTGTTAATTCAGCACATCGTAAGCATAACACATTTTTTACCTGTCCTCTGACATTTTCAGACATAACTTCTATCCCAAAAGAGAAGGAGTTTATGAATAATTTGACACCTAGGATAGTTGCCATAATTTCCTTCTTCTTATTAGCTTCTTTTAATCTCCAATGCAGTGAGCATTGCTTCGTTAATTATGTTGCCATCTTCCCTTTCATCATTAAAATTTTAGTATAAGTGCGGTTTTTTGTGATATTATTAGGGTATTATTGCAGCATTAATATCTGTTAAAACTGATCATTAACAAATACAGAAAAAACATTTTTCACATATATATATTCACCAAATCAGCTCTTTCATGCATAACTTTGACAAGAGGCTGACGGTGACGCAGTCTCTTTAATAGAAGTTGCGTGGCAAAGTATATTCATAAAGATGATCGAGTGAAAACGTAGCATTCAGTTCAGTCTGAAGCAACCCATCGTGACATCAGGGATGACGCGTGGGATCAGAGCAGGATTCACGTATAAGCTACTCAAGCTATAGCTTAAGAACCCCACCAAAAAAATTTAAATATAGTGTAAATATAGTATTAAAATATAGTATTGTTACGGTTTTTGTATTTAGCTATTTTTAAATAGAATTAATTAAAATTGTTTTATATTACCGTGCAATGCAGAGCGAGACTTGTCTGAAAGGAAAGCTACGCCAAAAAAATTAAAAATACAGGAGCACGCGCATTTAATGAATAGATATCTGGTAATTGTACTCTTTTACTATCCAGAAAAATTGAGAAAATTTTCCTGTATTTAAAAAGCTTATAAAAAAGAGGGATCAAAACATCTCAGTTCCGTTGTTTTACTACTGTTTACTGTAGCGAATTCGCTGTGAAATCGGATTAGCTTTCTCTATTTTGAATTAGTTCTGTTAAACGTTTTGGTAGTTTAAAATATAGCTACTGTGAGATATTGCAATATTGTACGAATATCTGAGGAAATTTAAGCATGTTGTTTTTATTTGTTGTGATAATAATAAATTTTATTCACTTTTCATCGGACTTGTGCAATTACGAACCCGTACTCACGCAACAGTATAACAGACTTATAAAGGGCCTCATATCTCAAATAGCTTAGGGCCTTATCAAGTCTAAATCCGACTCTGCGTGGGATATTAAGAACAATATTGCCGCGCAACGTCTACTGTAAAATTACGTGTTGGCTCAAAAGCCCATTGAAGAAGATCTATCTTCGGGGGACTTTAGTCGGCTGCACCTTTTAGTGTGCAGCGTAACTGGAATTCGACTTTTCTTTACCCCTCTTAGTACTTGACTCCACGAGACTGAGAAGGGACTAGATTTGCAATGCAAGCCCCAATTTGGCATCCCTTGTAAAGACATTAGGTATTTTTTGGAAGCAGGAGAGATGAAAAATGAGCAATGCCCTCCCCGGGACCCGAACCGAGGACCTCTCGAATACGCGTCGAGCGTGCTGACCGCTACACGAAGACATGCTAAGAAGACGGGAGAAATACCTTATACCCTAACCTAACCTAGCATACAATATTTAATTTTAAATAAATATCACTTGTGGAATCAATATAAAGTTATTCTTTCTGAATTCAATTTTGTTTTTTGCTCTAACCTGGATATTTCTGAATGTATAATATGTAATGCAATTTATTTTTTTTAATTTCCTTTAAATAATGCATATTTTTTGTTATTTATTTACAGGAGCACTCAGCTACGCTGAGTTAGGTACAGCAATCCCCGTTTCTGGTGCTGAATATTCATATTACCTCCGAGTTTATGGACAGAAAGGTCGATTTGGACCCATTCCTGCCTTCCTCTACTTATGGATGTGTTCCATCATCATAAAACCCTCAGCAGTGTCTATCATGTTACTGACTTTCGCCGAGTATGTCGTTGAACCTATGTTTCCGACTTGTCCTGCTCCCATACTGGCGAAGAAACTTGTGGCCATTGTTGCTATTTGTAAGTGCTTTTTAACATTTTACATGAAATGCCAAGATTGGATTCTAATTTGTAATAAATGCTAAAGATTTATTTAGAAGACCTGAGAAAACGTTTCGGAAGAAAACCTTATATTTCGGCACTACAATTTAAAATCCTTCCCCAAAAGTAAAACTACTATCTTAAAATTTTATGAGAAGTAAAATTGTTTCTTATTTAATGTAACCTTCATAGTGTGCTGAACACAACTATAGAGATATAATGTGGTCAGCGTTAATGCGTGCAATTATAGAACTATTATTGTATGTTTCGTTTTTGTCAGAGAAGAACACGTCATATAAAACTCAATTATTAAAACTAGAGAGTGTCCCCCCTTCCTTACTTCTGAAATGCATTTCGTCCTTTTTTATTGAATTAAAAGCTAAAATACGGTTAAAATGTTTTAAGAATTTAGTTAATTTTATTAAATGATTTTAACACACTTCCGGCATCTCCAGTGAAGTACAAATTAGTAGCCTACCAGTAACTAAACGGATAAAGAAAATAATCCATCACAGTCCGAGCTCACTTCACCCCGACTGAATGGAGGGGCTGAATAAAGTTTTCTATGACTTTTTCCGTATGTATCATGAATGCATGGCAGATTTCCTCAGGAAGTACTCAACGAAAGTATCTTAGGGTAAATATTGCTTTCGCTGGGCAAATATCTTTTCGGGTCTTTGCTCTAATAAAAAACCCAGTCATGTAGAGAAGAGAAAAGCATTTCGTCTTTTCTGCTTCTTTTAGAATGTAAAGTTAGTAAGAGAAAGAAATAAGTTCTTGTAAAGCTCTATTCATTTTTCTCATAAACATTAAGATATTATATATCTTCCAGTGTTAAATAAATGATTTTATTGGTTGAATCATAGCAGAGCCCCCACCCATGGCGCGCCCACTTATATGACACGTATCTATGTGTACATGGACAAAGTCAAAGGAGTGTGCAGTGCCAAGTTTGTACAATTCTGGGATATTTTTTTTAATGAAAATAGGTCGATGTGTACATGGATACCGAGTTTCTGCAATTCTTTGACTTGTTATTTTCAAGTTGGCGGTTTTGAGAAACGCGCCAAGCAGTGGGTGAATCTGCACTTTCCCAGTTTGTCGCCAAGGGTGTGGGCTCTCCTAGGATTTTACCATTTTATTATTTCTCATACTGAACTAAAGTTGAAATGAAGGACAGGAAGTTCAAACTCAAGACTTCTTTTATGAACTAAATTCGCAACGATTTACTTACGCATGCTCTTCATGACAATATTTAATAAAATAAATCTAATCAAGCTGATGATATTAATCCAACTTGCATGCAAAATTTTATATTCAAAACTATTTTATATTGTATTAAAGTACATAGCTGTTAGTCAAAATAACGCTTCATTTATTATGAAGCTCCTTGAAAGAAATGAAAAGAGGGATCAAAGAAAGAAAAAAGAGGAAAATATATTTAACTGCTATTGAAAAAATTGGAAGCCATACATAAAATAAGGGAAGAACTAAATCTACTATTTTTTATCTTATTTTTTTCCACTAAAGTTATAATTTTAGCTTCTTTCATTTTTAGAGGCATTTTTAAAGCACCCATATTTATGCATTCAAAATGAGACGGTTTCAAAACTAAATTCAATTGTTCAAAATTTGACGTGTGTCAGTTTTAGGTTAGGTTATTTGAATAAGGCAAAGCACACAGAGGCCTAAGAGGAGGAATGCTTTCGTGAATGACTTTCTAAGGAAAAATGGCTAGTATTTATATCACACATGGGAAAATTTACGAAAACCACCATATAAGCAGCTTTTTTTTTTTTTTTTTTTTTTTTTTAAAAAGCCCAGAAGGGCTTTAATTTCGTTTTGGCATTTTGCATTTTGCGTCGAAGGCTAAATGACCGTTTCACTTTCCAAATTGTGATCTCCAAATATTATAACTCTGCGTTATATTTTAAGAAATTAAATAGTGAAGAATCTGCATGTATGTGTCTCGCATTGTGATAAAACAAACGTACCTAAAGCTATCAAATTTTGAGTAATGTAATCCTCCACCGAATACGGGCATCTGGAAACCCGAATTTGGAAGTTGTTTTATTAGCGAGTTCATATTTTGTAACACTTTAACGAATTTTTGAAAATCTAAGATATGCTCATTTTAAAATTATTTTGCGATATTGCTGTTGAATTGAATTTTATGGTTTAATTGCGAAGAACATTATATTTAATAAATAAAGATAACACACTAAAAGTTAAAAATAGCCTCTTTGGGCGTAATGTAAAATATAAAAAGCTTTCAGTTTTTTTTTTCCTCTTGTGTGTGTGTGTGTGTGTGTGTGTGTGTGTGTGTGTGTGTGTGTGGCTGGGATTGAAACCGGAGCAAAATCCCAGTATTCAGCGTTCTTAACTGCTCGGCCACTGGTGCGTGCTGTTTTAGATGGATTGCTTCTGATATTAAACTCCTTTTAAGTATCACTAGCAGCTTCGCTGCCGGCCTTCGTCTGGCTTTTAAATGTACCGGAAAAATGGCTGAAGGGAACACCAAACGTTAAATTTAAAAACTGCATAGAATTTTACTCTGCAGAAAGACTTCATAAAAAAAGTTATTACGTATTAAAAAATTACAATGAAATAAGCAATATCCCTTAATACAAATATTAATTATCCTAATAAATAAATTAACCAACTTCCCTTTGCAAAATCTTAAGAACTCAAATGGTATAAAGGAGGTTAAAAACTTTGTTTCCTAAAATAAATCACTCAAAACTTTTTAATATCTTAAAAACAGTGAAATGAGCAATAAATAACATAAAAGAATGCAAAAAAAATTCTGAAAAGCAAAGTATAATTAATGATATTTTATCTTATATTTTCAAGAGAAAAAAATTAGGTGCTACTTTGGTAGACGGTTGCACGGATTTTTGGCGATTTACATTGGCACAATTGTTGGCGCGGTTTTTATAGTCATTAGCCATCTTGAAAAATGCTGTTTTTACCTATTTTACGCATATAGTAAAGTATGAGAAACTTTAAAAAAAAAATAAATATCGTTAAAAATAATTAATTAATTTTTTGTTGAAAACGCTGTTTTTTAAGATGGCTGGCAAATGTAAATAAATACGTTTACTAAGAGTATAAAATGCTAAAGTAAGGTTAAATTATTACTTTCATATAATAGAATAAAAAAACCGCTATAAAAACATTGCGCCAACGTTTAATTGGATTAAAATATTGCTTAAATTGAATATCGAATTAAAAACATCATACCAATGTTTAAAAGAATTAAAATATACTTAAATACTTTAAAATAAGTTTTATAGGATTTAATTATTTAACATTAAAACATATGTGGCAATAAAATATCTACAGGAATTTTTGAAACATTGTATCAATTTTTTAATAAAAGTTGAAGTATACAATTCTAAAATAAAAGAAAAATATGTACTTACATTTTTTTAAGTAGTTTAACCTCTTGTTTATTGATAAGTACTACAGAAAATCGAAATCATAATTGATTCGGCTCTTTTAACCATCTTCATCTGTTATCCACATATCTCGCACTTCATTGGAGAAGCAATTAGCGAGGTTTCCTCCAAAAATTTAAAATAATTTTCCTCTGACGCTACTTCACAATTTATAAATAAATCTTTGATTAGGAAAGACAGGTTGGGCCAAAATAAGGTCTCAAACGGCAATTCTTGCATTCCGATATCAATAATTCTTGGTAATTCCAATAACAACATTCATCTTCGAAAGAGACATATCCATTCCATTTGAAATCTGACGGAATTCGAAGAGATGAATAATAAAATTTTAAAATGGCGCGGTAATGCACAAATATTCAGTAACCAATAAGGGACCTGATTACATTACGCATAGAATTAAAATTATTTAAATAATCATTCATAATAAAATCATTTTTAAAACAAATGCAAAATTAAATTGTATTTTAATATTTAACAGCTATAAATAATGTTTAAAACATTAGATTAAATTTATAGATATTAATAAAATCAATTACGTTTTAAGTAAGGTGACGTCATTGATTACATCATCCACAACATATTATATAAAATATTATAAACAACAAAATTTTTATTTCAAATAAAAATGCAAAGTTAAATTGATTTTTAATATTTAGAAGCGATAAATAATATTTAAAACACGGAATTTATGCATAATAAAACGCATTATTTTTTAAATAAAATGACAACAAAGTATCGGTTACCATAAGTCGTATTACTCGCCAAAAAAAAATTGCCAAAATCCGTGCAACCGTCTACCAAAGTAGCACCAAAACTTACAATGAAATAAGCTATATCTCTTAATACAAATATTAATTATCCTAATAAAAAAATTAACCAACTTTCCGTTGAAGAAAAAAAATCATGCAAAACTTTTCAATATCTTACAAATAGTGAAATAAACAAAAAATAACATGAAAGAAACTCAAAAAACAAAAAAATTCCGCTCAGAATTTTACTCTGCAGAACAACTTTATAAAAAAACATCAATATTATATATATAAAAAAATGGCAATGAAATATGCCCATCTCTTAAAAACAGTGACATAAGAAATACGATAAAAAATTGTTGCCAAACCCACATTTCTAAAAGAATGAAACTATTAAAAATGATGCGATTTCATCAAAAATCTATCAACGAGAATAAGAAAGGAAAATTGTTGCCAAAATCACATTTGTAAAGATGTGAGATGTGAGAAGTGTACTCGGAAGCTTCATTTAAAAATTTTTTTTTAAATGCAGGATAGTATCCTTTTTCCAAAATTCTTTTTGTATAAGCAGTCGCAAGGATGAAAATTTAACGTGTCCAAAAATCAAAGAAAAATAAACCTGTACATTTTTAAAAATAAACGTTTTTAGAAAATATCCCGTTGAAAAGGTCTTAAGCTCACTTTGTTAAATAAAGTCGTATCTTAATCGATTTATTGAAGACACGAAATTTATTTTAAGTTCGTAAAATAGCTAAGTGCCTGCACGTTT